CCAATCCTGCAGCCATCACAGGTGCTCTAATTTGTTCATCACATATATTTAGTAATGCCTAAGAATATATCCTAGTACGAGAGAGAGAGAGAAAAGTAAAAGTATGCATTTCGGTATTTTCAAAGTTATAATTTCTTTGAGCTTCTCCTAAACTAAACAAATACTGCAAAATGGGTGCATGTTGCTATTCATCTAGCAAGGGATTAAAAAAATCAGAATATTATTTGCCAGAGATTCAGAGCTGCTCAATCAACATCCCCTAAATGAAACTAATATCCACTACTGAGGTCGGTAACCATTAAAAGATTAACTAGTTCTATCAGAAATTAAGATCCAACAATTCTAAGGTATATTGGAGCTCAATGATATATCCTGATTTTAAAAAGTGAAGAAGGAATGAAAAACTGTATTATATGTCTATCATGCAAGAAACTTCATAACAGATAAGCTAAGTGAAGGTAAGTCTGGAAATTATAGCACAGCTAACAGCATTTAAACTTTCCAAACAAGTCATTCAAACTGTTGGCAAAGCCAAGATAATATTTGAAAAGATAAGTTTCAACAGTTAACTCAAGAGTTTCATTGCAAAGGCCTCAGTGCAGACTAAGTATCAAATCCCAGTCTTCTGCTACTACCATTGACAAACATCAGCTTTTTTGTGAGTTGCCTGACTTTCTAATGTATACTGGGACATCAGGAAATTTCTTCCAAAATCAATCTCCCCAAACAGACTAATTTTATTAATATATTTATATATGAAGATAAAGAGTTGATACTACGCAGCAGATAATTGGATTGCATCAAAGTACCCATGGGAAAACACAAATTTAAGAATAGATGCATGAAAATATCCACTAAATTACAAAAGATTTGAGTGCTTCATACTTTGGAATATACATACCAGCAAAAAACTAATTAGACTGAAGTTTGGGCATCTTTACCTTGGTATACATTTGCTACCTTCCTGACAAATGTTAAACAAATGTGCTATAGTTAGATGCAAACTGGCAAATTTCCTAAAGAAATCATAGAACATATTTATAAAGAAAACTAAAATAAAAGCCCCAACCTTTTTTTTTTTTAAACAATTTGCCGTTTTAGCAACTACAGATTTAACAGCAAACCATACCTGAAGTATACAGCTCGGGCTGTGGCATTCCCCAGGTGTCTGTAAGAACTGCAAATAGCAGAGTGCCACCTGCCTTTCACAGGTCACAGCTGCAATGCTGCAGCCTGGAAATGAAATCCAGTCTACCGCCAATAGCTGGCAAACATACCTCAAAAGGGTCAGTTTGAAAAATGTTTATAGTGTTTGACAAAAATAGAACAAAATTAAAAAAAAAAAAAACAAGAACTCATTCTTTGGAAGCAGCTACAGTTTTGCAAAACACATTAGAAGAGAACGAATATATATAGGCTGTAACTTAACACTGTTTCCAAATAGGAATGCAAACACATGCCAAGGAGGGTAAAAAGATTATAATAAAGACAAACAGACTGATTAACAATAATTTGGAGAACTCTGCATTGACAAGAATGCCCATTAAACATTTCAATAAAATGATATTACTGAAAAGGAGAAGCACCTCAGTGCTGCTTCCTATAATTACGGCAATAGCAATAGCAATTCATCTCAGGAGCCATAGTAACTTCAGAACATACATTACCAAACATCAAAAGCATATCAAAATTTTATAAACCAAATGTTAAATCTAAAGCTAAATCATATTTCACTGCTATTCAGAAGTCCATCATCACAACATACTAACCAATTACTAGATACTGCTTTACATGAAGTAGCACAGTACCAGATTTCACACACCCTCCTCCCCACTATCAACAGATAGTACTGGTAGTACACACCTACTATCAACAGATAGCAGTATCAGCAATCCACTTACGTGTCCCACAGCACAGAAATCAGACCCAGACAACACTGCTGATAAAGCTGTTGCAGACCAGAGGGCAGAAAAGGGTCTCTCTGCTCCTGCTCAGCCCAGGAGCTTAGCTGTTCCCTTGGCTGAATTCCTGCATGCAACCTCTAACACAAAAACCAAAACTTGCTGGATAATTATGTTGTATTTCCGTAGTTCACAGATTGTAGTGTACAGCTACTCCCTGAAAAGTAATGAACTTCATTCACTGAAAATCCTGTATTTGTACAAGACTATATCAACAGAAGTCAGAATCCACGTGGTTTCACTAAGTGGCTGGGGGAAAAGAAAGTGAAAAATAAATGACTACACAATTCTTTTTTCTGAAAACAGCAGCAATACAGTTACCACACTCTGCATCTCTGCCCAGCAGGAAATGAGTACAACAAACCTGCTACAACCATGTTTATGGATCATTACAAAGTGCACAGGCACTCCTACTACCTGTAAGTATTTTATGAAAACAGCACTAGTTAAAGATTAAAAGAAATGAGACACTTCAGATATTAAAGCCTTCAGCTTTGTCAACCAAAACAAATCTTTGTAACAACAGCCCAAGGAATAAGCAGCACAACTCAGAAGCCAGTGTTTACACTACTTAGTTCAAAAGAACCTCTCAAACAGACAAGTAAACTGCCACACTCCAGAGCAAAACCTTAGCTCTCAGCAGGACTCCTCACAGCTGTTCAGCATTAAAATCAGAAAATGAGATTAATTCATTAGTAAATGTAATAAAGTTATATTATTGGTACTTGATAGAGAGGAAGGTGGGAACACAGCACACAATCCAGAAATCTACCAACATCATTCACTCTACTAAGCAAAGTAGCAAAGGCCGTAACTCAGCCTTTCAAGGCAGCAATACACTTTTGATTGACTATGTGTTACATATATGACATCAGCAAGTACAACAATTCTAAATCAAACTTTACTGAACTGAGTCAGCCTTATATAACAATCAGGAGATGTTCAAACTCCTAGAAATAAGATTTGAGTGCAATTTCCACTACGTGGAAAAAAAAATCTACTCTACATCACTCCAGCTTGGCTAGCATCACATCAGGCTTTTACACCAAAATTCAAACCAAGAGTGGTTAGTCAGCTTTCAGAAAGTAACACCTTCAGATGCACCTTAGGGCTCCTGGAAAACGCTGTCACTATAATTTTAACACCATGTTTTAGTTTTAGAATGTTTTTCACAGCTATAATCTTACAAATTCTAAACATCTTCACAAGGCTGCGTGTTCCGGTATGCACAGGCCTCTCCTGCCTATAGTCCGGTTTGCTGAAGGAGCAGATGCACTGACAGCTCCCCCCATTCCAGCTGCCCCCAGGAATAATCCCGGGCAGATTATCGTTGTGTCAGTCTACAATGCAGACTCATCATCTGGAATGATGCAAGAAGCCCTAATAGTTGTCATTTATCTGGTAAACAATGCTCACAGAACGATATATGCATACAATTGACTGAGGTGTTTCCATCTGCATCGTTGTGGAATGATAAACTCTAACTCCCCAAGTCAGAAAGTGCCGAAATACAATCACGCCACAGACCAAAGACAGTGCGGTTAAATAAAACAGCGAGAATAAAAGCACATCGGGGTTTCAAAGCGCACTACACGAACATCCCACTGAAGACCCACGTTTCTCAGACATCTGACGGTGCCTTTCACGCCACTTCTTCTCTCACCAGAAGATGAACCTGAGCAAACTTCACTTGTTGAAGTGTGACAAAACCCCCCGAAACGTCCCTGAGCCATCGGCTGCCTCTCCGCAGCCGGGGCTCAGCGACAGCAACGCACCTCACTCTCCTGGGCGAGAACGCGCTCCGAGGGCAAGAGCGGCGCGGGGGTCCCACTGCGCGGAGCACCCGCGGTCCGGGCTCCGGCCCCTCTGGAGATGCGGCTTCCTGTCCGTCTGTTTTTTCCTGGTCCCGATAAACAGCACCGACTACGGGGAGAACGCCCGCCCGTTCTGAAAGGCTCGGTGGACTTTCGGGGGTGGGGCCGGGCAATGCCCGAGACGGGCTCCGAGCGCCGGCAGCGCTCCGCGGCACCGGAGCCCAGCGGCAGCGGCGCTCCGCCTCGCAGCCGGCTCCCCCTGCCGGCACCCTGCGCCGCTCCCGCCCGGACCCCGGCCCCGGAGCCCCCCGGGGCGCCCGGCGGACAGCGGGGCGCAGCGGGTGGAGGAGGCGGGAGGCGGCCCCGTTCACGGGCAGGGCGGCCGGGAACGCGCGATGCCCGCGGCGCTGCCAAAGCGCCGCTGCGGCGAGGGGGGAAGAGGGGCCGGCAGGGTTACCTGAGGCGCCGTGGGCTGCTCGCCGCGGGCTGATGCCCGCTCCCCGCCTCACGCCGCCATGGCCGCAGCCCCGCCGAGCCGCCCGTGCTCCGCTCGCTCGCACCAAGTTTGCGGCGCGGCAGCTGCGCGCCTCGCCCGGCGGCCGGACCCGGCGCCCTGCCGCGGGGGCGGAGCAGCCGCGGCCGCCCGGCCCCGGCGATGCGGGGCGCGGCGCGGCGCGGCGCGGCTCGTCCCGCAGCCGGCGCTGCCCCGGGCTGGGGCGATCTCGCATTGCTCCCTGCCCTCCCCCGCGCTCCCCCCTCCGGGCCAGCTGAGAAGTTGCAACTGGTTGAGATATTTGTCCTTGGGGTTTGGGTTTTTTATTTTTATTTCCTTTTATTCCTTAATCACCGCAGCTCACAAAAACACGACCTGAGGCTGCTCCTTTTCCATCAGATCTGAGCAGGGGCGCCTCAGCGCCAGTACAACTAAGCACAACAAATCCTGGCGAGCTGCAGCGAGCGACAGCAAGAGGGAGGGGAAGCGGAGGTACGCGGGCAGCGCCGCCGGTGCCGGGTCCGCCCGGGCTCTCGGCCGCTGCTCGGGGCTCGACCAGGCTCCGGTGTCGGGGCACTGTACCGAAACTGGGGAACAGCAGATAGAGAAAGCGAAGGAGGGCTGGGCGCCAGCGACTCGCGGGGCGGAAGGGGCTCGGGAGCGCCCCGCGAGCTCCCAAGCTGCGCGCCCCGCGGCACTCCACACCCCTCCCATGCCATGCCACAGCCAGCCGGCCAGACAGACCCAGTGTCCCAGCCCCAGTGTCCCGGGCCCGGGCGAGGAACCGCATAGGCAACAGGAGCCCCGCACCAGCGGCCCCGGCCCCGCTGCAAGGGGGAGTGCGGTGCTGACATTTCTGCCGCCACGTAAGAGCCTCAGGCGAGTCCCTCTCCGCCCTCTCCAGTCCCCTCCCTCCCCCCCCGCCATGGCACGATCGACGTGTCAGCCCCAAAAGTTGATTTCCAGGCCCTGGGAGAGTCCCTATAAAGGTCCCGGGGCGTGCGTGGGACGGTGAGACGTGGCACCGCGGGGCTGCAGCGGGGGCGCGTAAGCATCTCCCCCAGGTACGTGTGTTCGCATTTTCGCGCTCACCGGGTTTCGGCGCATGCCGTTGTGTTTTGTCAGCTCACCTGCATTAACCTAGGAGGTTATTTTTGTTCATGTGTGCATTATAATTAATTCCATCAGAGTTGGGTTTTTTCTTTTATGATAGCATTTGCCCGTTTCTACTACAAACTTTAGCAGAAATTGACTTTTGTTGTTTGCAGCAAGACCATCGTTTAAAAAACTAAAAGCAGTAAGAGTTTATTAAAACAAACAAAGCCATGGAATTCATCCATGCTAGAGTAATCCTATAAAAATTACCTAATTAAAACAACTAGCATCAAAACTTATCAGCAAGCCAAATGTTCCAAGTCCAAATTGCCTTAAACTTCAAGCTCAATTTTACTTTGGCTAGGATATAAAAGAAACTTGTTCAAGTAGAAACATTAACAGAAGTTTGAAATTATCTTTAGAATGAAGTCCTGGATTTTGGAACATTCTTTCTGATTATTTTTTGATATTTAAAAAAAAAAAAAAAAACAAGTGTGATTTTATCACTTAAAAAAAAAAAAACTGCATTTTTTTATAAACTTAAAAAAAAAAAAAAAAAAAGTCTGCAAAAGTTTTAANTTTTTTTTCATAAAGTCATGTAACCCTGATACACAAGGATGTTTCCTTATTTATAACAATACTGTTTAAGAAGCCACTACTGTAATTATTGTAATGCTTGGGGTCATTTTCTCATGTGATTTCCTTCTGATGCAGAAAATACTTGTACAGAAAATATAATAATTCATTTTACATCTAAAAATTGCCATCAAAGTAAGTGCAAATATGACTCACGTACCTACGCTGTTAACTTCTTTGGACTGTTATTAAGACATCTTCCAATCAACAAGTCCTACACTTCGTATGTACCTCCACCTATTACAATAAATTTAGACTTTGTTTTTGAAGAGGAGATATATTTGTTTTTTCAACTGCTGTGTAAAAAAAGAAAAACATCCCTACTTTATCTGTGAAAAGTAAGCACCGTGTATCCAAAACTAACTGCCAGCAAAAAAAAACTATCAAAATTCTACACCCTGAGTGTTGTACATTTAAGCCTCTAAAATTTTGTCTGCAATTTGGCTATGAAACAATAGGCATATAAGTAAAAAAAAAAAAAAAACAAAACACACCACAATTATATCTTTATGTTATACTCTGTTAATGACATACAGTACATACAGTACATTCTAAAAAATTCCACTGGAATCATATTGACTTTATATCACCCACAGAGCATTTAAGTCATGCACTTTATAGTTCTGTACCAGTTTCATGGAAGAACAGTCATTATGTCAATTCTTAATTTTATTTAATTTTATTTTAAAAGCTCAAGGGCAAAGATGTCTGAAACCACCTGTGAGATTAATCATATTTGAAATTAAGGTACAAACTGTAACGTTTTTAATGTTACATGCAACTCTATGCTATGTCTAAGTTACAGAGTTAAACCAGATGAGTTGAGTGAATGAGCCCAGCAATTTTAGGTGATGCAATCCCCGGACGTACCCTTGCAAGTAGGCGCTGAGAGTTTTTTGTTTCTTCACAAGTTGCACAGTGGTGTCCCAATCCTAGGCTAAGCCTCATTGTGTTACTATATCCAAAATAAATAAGGATATTCTAATATAATCTAGGAATATTATGCTAAGGGTAAGGGAGAAAGCAGCAGGGAAAACTCTGCTATCTGATTTAAAGGAAGGGGAAAAAAGAAGCTCAAGTCCATTGCATCCAGCATTTCTTCCAGTATGGAGCTCGTCTTTCTCTTCTGCCTCGTATTTTCCTGACATTATATTTCTCACTGTTAGTAATTTTTAATCTCTCCTTCCAACAAAGCAGATTCAGCATATTAAGGGATGGCAGCATGGGGAAGCAGTAAAGGTACTGCAGTCGGAAGAGGAGAGGCTGCACAGCACCTTCAGGCTTCTGGCCAGTTTGGTGGGAAGCCAGATTTCAGCTCATTCCTGTGGTGGCAGGATATAAAGAGTGTTAAAAAGCAGGGAAGGGGGTGGATTTCCATCTGTTTAGGTGGGAAAGTCACAGTGTAAGGGAAGGCCTGAATTCACAGTACCCATCAAAAGCACTTTGGATAGTAAGCAACTCTTTCACCATTTAGAAAAACAAAGTCAGATACAGCAAACTGAAAGTTTAAGTCAGGTTAAAAAGAAAAAAAAAATAGAAAAAGAAGAAGGTCTTAGCTTTAGTAAAACTGAAGCTTGAGTTATACTTCCATCATAGGGAAAGGACTTTGCTTGCTTCATGATCACAGAGTTCAGAGTCTTTATTACCACTGCATGTTACTTTTTCCAGACCATTGAAAACATTAGTCATTTTTGTTTAATTCATGAAAAACAGGCAGAGGAAAGCTTTGAAGTCTCACAGTTAATTGCCTACATTTGTGTTTTCTAACCACATCATTTATTCCTGAGGAGAAACCCTACTGGTGACCAGAGCCTTTCCAGAGCAGACCAGGCAGAAGAATGGTGCATACAAACAAGCACCCTTTCCTGAATCAATGCTTAAGTGCAAAGAGTTTTTGCAGTCTGGTGTCTTCAATTTACCTGACTTACATGACATTGTTGAAATACCTAATCATCAGCTCTGCATGACTGTTTCTTTCTTCTTTCCCACTGATATTCAGGAAAGTATTCGTCCTGTTGAATTTGAGTTGAGTGAGCCCTTAGCATTCCTGCTGGCATTGAGCAACATCTTGCAAGGCTGGATCATCATGAGTCTGCCATATTTAAATACCAGGGACTTGTGATGTTGTTACATGTAAAAATAGGAATGACCTCTTCACCCCAGGAAAGCAGATGACCCAGAGGATTTAAGTTTGCCATTCTCATCCTCAGATGGGTCTGGTAGGGAAGTACACTATTAAAAAGCAGGCCAGGAGAGGCTGTAGCTGTGTATGCCCAGTAGGAGACACAGGGCAAGGTCAGACTGAACATAATTTTCATTGTCTTAGCAAGACACCATTGCAATTCTTCATTTAAATAAAAGGGAAGTCAACGTCAATAGCTACAAACTTTGTTGTTTTCCCTTAAGCTACTGTCTGATGTTATGTTCTGTATTTAAAGGTTAAGCTGACTGATCTCCATAATATCTATGAATTAGGGAAAGCTAGGTGAGAGTCTAAAACGTGGCTTTTGAGAACTAGACATTCTTCTGATGAGTTTATGTTTGCCATTTGTGATAAAAAGATAAAGTAATATTTTTCATGGCATTTCTAATATTAAAGCTCTTTATAAACAAAATGGTTTGTTTTTATGAATGCATAAGATATTTTCAACACAGCTATATAAATAAATGTTCACTTACATTTAGAAATCTGTGACCTGATTTTTAGTAATTGCTGCTTTCTTTCCATTAAAGTCTGACTGATAAGGCAGTTATTATACAAAGATATAATATTATATGAAGATGTAAAAGAGTTATTATATGAATTCTAAATAAGGACCATCTAACTTCAAGTCCCTAAAAGTAGTTAGATATTTGGTGAAAATGATGAATTCTTGGGTACTGATTCATGTGATCTGAAAATGCCATCCATTTCCTGATTCACCTTCATATCTCCTCCAGGAAGAAAAAGAAATATTTTACAATGAATACCATCAGTCAAACAATTTTTATGTGTCTGTTTTTCTATCTTTCAGCCAATTCCCTGAACTGATGCTTTCAAAATGAAGAGGAAGATAGGAGTGAGAATGAAGAATACCTTGGAGAAATCCAGTCATAAAGTTTGAGGAGTAGAAGTAATAGGAAATATTAATAACTCTGGTCTCTTGCATCAGTCAGAATTCAGACTAAAATGACGTAAAGTTACAAACCTGAGACATAAGGGATATTAAATTTGAATCAAGATTCACATATTTTTATATTAATACATAATAAAAATATTTGCTTTTTCCCCTCAACTTTGGATGGTAATATATTCTGCTGCCTTTTACAACTTTCTTATATAGACTAAGTTTTCTTTTTTTTCATATTAGCCCCGAGACACCTCTTCAAACTAAGCCAGGGTATATATTAGCAATATATTAATTGCTCCTCTCTTTTCTTGTCCCTGATTCATTAATGTTGAATTCCTATGTTTCTACATCACCAAGCAGTACAAATGGAATTTAGATAGAGGGCACACACACACACTAACACACCACACAAAATACACACACACACACACACACACATATATATGTATGTGTATATATATATATATATATATTTATATATATATATATATATGAGACTTTATCACTGCCAAGCAGTCTAAAACACAGGACGTTGAGCTCATCTAGACTTCAGTTTTGTGCTGGCCTTTTTAGGGATGAGTGGATAACTCCTGCTGTCGTAGAATTAGACCTTCACAATTTCTAAAAGGAATTTTAACCAGCTGTGAAGTCCTCGTAACTCATACAACATTTCTGTGGCACTGATCTAGCACTAAGAGCCCTATAACAAACTTACCAAGTGGTGGTGGAATTGTCTGTGCTATTTAATTTTATTTAATAGTAAATTCCCAAACTAGGCAAACATCCAAGTCACTTGTAGAAAGTGATTTATCTAAATTAGCGCAAACCCCTGTATGAACCTTATTGTTTTGCTTGAGCATAACAATCTTAAATCCACTAAAAAATACACGTAAGTTAAGTAGATATTAACAAAAAAAGGACTAATCAGTAATGGGTTTTCTTATAAAGAGTTTGACTGTCTTTAGTGAGAGTTTGTTTACCCCTTTAGTTAGGCACAGACAGCATATTTATGTGACCATGATCTCACTTGATCTCTGCCTTTTCACTCTTAAGACTGACAGTGAACACAATAAGGTAGATGTACTTGTCAAGGGGAGTTTTGTAGGAAGGAAGAGAGTCAGGATCTTAACAAGCTGCGTGACATATTGCAAGCATTTTTCCAGCCATGCACTTCCTATCAGATCATTTGACAGCAGCAATAAAAGGTACAAGTCCAGTTCAAGTGATATTTTCCTCAGTTACTTCTACACTGTATTCAGTTGCCTGTTAGAAAAGAGCTAGATGGTGTTGTTTAAACTCAGTCTTTGTAATCTGGAATTGTTACAGAGCAAAATTCTTAGCAACTTGAAACTGGATATAGAAGCAGTAGTAGGCAAAGACAAAAGAGAAAATAAATTAAAAACCAGCAAGTGTTTGTTACTGAGAAATAGAAACAAGCAACCAACGCACACACACCAACCCACACATTGCAAACTCGACTGAATTTCATTACTTTGATGATTTTACTCAGACACTAAAGGACCTCACAGTCTGATCTTCTGTTTTGTTGCTAGTTGAACCCAGGCCAGACTAGAGCAATGAGAGTCTAAGGAGGTACCTATGTCTTTCTTGACTTGAAATGAAGCCCAGCCCACTGTTTGGTACAAAGTTTTGGTGCATGTTGGTATCACTTGAGAATTTAGCAAGTGCATTTTTTTTTTTTATGTGTTTCAAAAGTTGCCTATAAGCAGTACTAAAAATCTGTTAAGAATCTGTGTTGAGTTGAACTCTCTGCCATCAAACTTTAAGCCTTCATTTTTTTGCTCTGTCCCATAGTGATCCCAAAACTAAAGAGATCCCACCATTTCCCAAACAGCTGTGAGCTTTGCTGGGAAAGTAAAGCACTTCCATTTATTGCAGGCAGACCATATAAATGTGCAAAGCTAGTTTCTACTATGAGTTGTTTTTTTCATTCTTATACAGGTATAAGAATTTATAAGCCTGCATTGTGACATTGTCAGTTCAGGGTATAAGCAAGGTTATATTTCATAATGAACAAAAATTGGAAGTAGTGTCACTGCAGGAAAATTGAAATAGGATCACTTGGTGATACAAATTTCAGTTGTATTGGGTTTTCATGGCAAGATTCTGGTAGTGGAAGGGCTATAGGTGTGGCTTCTCTAAGAAGCTGCTGGAAGCTTCCCTTGGTGTGTCCAGGAGAGCCAACGCCAGCTGGCTCTAAGACATGCTGCTGGCCAGGGCTGAGCCCAGCAGTGATGGTGGTAGCACCTCTGGGATGTAATATTAAAGAAAGAAAGAAAGTTATTGCACAAAATAATGGTGGCCAGAGAAGAGAGGTGTGAGAATACATGAGAGCAGCAGCCCTGCAGACACCAAGGCGGGTGAGGAAGGAGAGGGAGGAGGTGCTCCAGGTGCTGGAGCTGAGATTCCCCTGCAGCCAGCAGAGGTTCAGGGGGAGTAGAGACCCACCTGCAGGCCCTGGAGGGCCCAATCCCAGAGCAGGGACGTGCCCAAAGGGAGCTCTGACCCCATGAGAAACCCACACTGGAGCAGGCTCACAACAGGACCTGTGAGCCCGTAGAGAAAAGCCCACACTGGAACAGGTTTTTGATGGAATATGTGACCCCACAGGGTCACACTGGAGCAGCCTGTTCCTGCAGGGCTGCATTGCACAGAAGGGACTCATGCTGGAGCAGTTTGTGAAGAACTGCAGCCTGTGGGATGGACTCATGTTTGACAAGTCCATTGAGGACTTTTCCCATCTTCCTGCACTGCTAGGGCTGCAGTATAAAATCAGTAATAAAGTTAAGCCCAGGAAGGAGGGAGTGGTGGGTGGAAGCTGTTTTTAGGGTTTATTATACTTCACGTTACCTTATTCTTATTTCACTTGAAAAAATAAGTAATAAATAATGAGTTCCGTTAATTTCCCAAAGTTGTATCACCTGTGTTTTGCCTGTGATAGCAATGAGTGAGTGATCTCTCCCTAACCTTATTTCAACCCATGAGCCCTTCATTATATTTTTCTCACCTGCCCACCTGAGGAAGGGAGTGGCAGAGTGGCTTTGGTGTCCAGCTAGAGTCAAATCACCAACTATTACTACCTAATATTTGAGTGCTTGACTTATTGCCCTTAACAATAATTATTATTCTGTATAGTATAAGTTCAGTTATTAAATATGTATCACTCTTATTCCTCTCCATAGCCTGAAAACATTGTAGTTATTGAAATTATTTAAATCAGAAGTATCATGTTCAAAATAATTTTATTTTTTCTTTATATTTTGCATAATAAAAACTGCTTTGTTAAAAATATTGCATAATAATTATTTGATTTGACACACTGAAAACTTGTAAGAGGTTTGTTTCAGAAGGGGACATCTATCCTGAGTCTGCTCTAGGAAGCCAGAATTTGACTTGTGAAACCTGAATTTCATAAATAAGCTTCATTCCAGAACACTCAAGCAGGAAGAGGATGTACAGACATGCTATTGAAGAGAAAAAAACACTATTTTTTGCAGTTATGCCAAGCTCCAATTCAATCATTAAGTGGTTTTACTACTTATTCAGACCTGGGGGTTCATTAAAGACAGAAGTTGACAGGAAAGAGTTCAAAACCCATGTTAGCCTTCTAAATCCACTGTCATATTTTAAATAGCACCAGAAGATAACAAAAGGAGACCAAGGGCTAATGTCTACACACTTTGAAGTGCCTCTTGTCTCTAGTGGACATTCCTTCTTGTCTCTAGTGGACATTCTCAATCTAGAACAGAAGCTGAGGGCTGGCAGGGGGATTGGTGTCTGCACTGATGCTGATATGTAAACAAAATAAGGCCATTCACTGTTTGTTCTTCCATCAGCCATATATTTACTAAGAATTCAAAGGCTAAAATCTTAAAAATAGTTGTAGCACAATAGAGCTGTTAATGAAATAGTTTGCATAAAAATGTCAGATTTCAATCAGGTTTGTCCACAGGGGATAGAGATTCTAATTAAAAAGACAAGAGTGAGTAAAGGAAGAAATGTGCAGGAACTACATGTGTAATGCTATCTTCTTTTTTGTAATAATCACTTCCTTGTACTATCAAAATGAAGGCATTGATAAAAGGACTCAGTTGAAAAATGGAAAAAAGTACTTGAACTATCCCAAGAAGAAAATAACAGTCATCCAACTGCAACCCAAAGCCTCCACGCCTGCCAACATCCATGTTTTTTCACAAGAATAGGCTATGTATTATGTCCCAAAGTCACAGCAACTTGGACCAGAAGATAAAAAACTAATTCAAATGTTAAGGACTTTTCTGAGAGAAAGTCTCCCCAAAGCTGTTCATTTTGAGTAAAAGTGGATAACTAGCACAAAGGAAGAGACACATTCATTCCGAAGTGTGTATGCACGGGACAATTGCAAGCAGTCACTCTATATGGTAGACAATTGGGAGTTTCCGGTAATAGCATGATAAATCATGTACCCAAAAAAAAAAAAAAAAAAAAAAAAAAAAAAAAAAAAAAAAAAAAAAAAAAAAAAAAATTTAAAAAAAAAAATAAATAAAAAAAAATTCAATCTGACACATATTCATTCCATCAGCTTCTGGGAGAGTTTTGCGTAGTAATATCTCCATAAGTCAAAAGCAAATGCAATGTCACAGCAGCTGCACATGGAAGCGAGAAGCTCTGTGGAAAGATAAGTGAAGACTGTTTTCCCTAGGCTGTCTCCTGTGTCTGAATGGTGACAGCCTCAGCTCCCCCTGCTTTCCATACCCAGGAAGAGGTGTAAACTATGTCCCTCCATCCCTCATGATCTTGCTGCTTCCACCATGTCCCTGGCATCTTTGGAGAATACAAGCACAGATCAGCTCCCCTAGACATACTGTATAGTTGATTTTATTTCCTTTTTACTTATTCAGGTTGTTCAGTAAAGGACCTCAGGTTTTGTCTAAAGTTTTTTAGACTGTTCAAATTGTTACTTCTTTTGTTTTAGGGAGGGAACTGGAGAGATGTTCTATTATTTGAGGGAAAAATTGTATGAACTGAAAAAATTCCATGTGGTCATAAACACTTTCATTCTGCTGCTGTGATCAAAAGCAATGTGAATGGACAGAATACTGCTGTTTTATAATTTTATTTCACAGCGTTTGAGGAAATTAGTTTCCAAAGCATTCTACTCAACATTTAATGGTTGATGTTCCCAGGGTCAGCAGACATGGAGCTGCCATCAGGAGTGCCCTAGATATTCCTTATAGCCTCCCAATTAAACAGGATTGTTCTTCACTAGATGCAGTATGAGCACCTGTAAGCATTTAGAAGTT